GTACAAACTCATGGTGCAAATAGCAATTAGACAGACGAATATAGGAAGTAGCATGTATGCTTTTGTAGTAAAGCCCGAGTTGTGCCGTCAGCGCCGACCTCAAAAAGTTCCGTCTGCCACGCAAGGCAGTCCAATGCTGCCGCACTCGCTTTCAGAGCTATCCTGGCGAAGGCAACACACGCCTCTCTGCGCGGCCTTACGAAAATACCAGCAGTGGGCAGTAAACACAGGATGAAATCCAAGATGAGAAGGTCAAAGAGAAGAATTTTGGGGACCTAGTGACGGCCTGGACGGAAATGTCGCTTTTCCAAAGAGATCGTGTTCGACACAAACCTGTTTACTGCGCAACCGTATGTCTATAATCTCGCATCTTTCTACTCTCGATGAGGCTTTCTTCGGCTCACAATTTCTATTTGCTGACCACGAGGCAAAATTGGTATCAGTCAAACGATCTCCATCATCTGCATCCTCGGTTATGGTTCTCACATCACAAACCAAACGGAATTACCCTGGCCCACTGCAAATTTCAGTCTGATGGTAGACACCTCCGTGCTATTGTCCGATGCTCTCTTATCGTTTCCTGACCAACGCGAATCATCCGCTGGGCTCAGCTACTCGTTGCGATGTTTCCAGGTTGTCCTGCTTTGGGGCGTGAACACGACGTTCGTGTCAGCAACTCCGGTGTGGTTTCACGCGCTTTTCGTCGAGTGGCAAGGAGTTGCTATCTGTCTTTCTAACACTGCGGTCGACTACGGCAACTCGCTAGGCCTGGGGTTCGACATCGCAATCGAAGTCGACGTTCATCATGGCAATTGCGACGCGTAAGTGGGTCCATTGAATGCGCGTGTCTTGGTCTGTGCATCTCCATCGTCGCGTTGGCATACTCAGGCACGAGTGACAAGACAAACAGGCAGGAACTGGGGCCCGCGACGCCATAGCCAAGAGCAAGAGCTGATGTGGAACCGATACTTTGTTTTGTGCCAGGTGGCATTTGAGCAGCTGACCCCAGATCCAGATGGCTACTGGTACGTTATGCTGGAATTGGGCGGCCTGCATATCCACAAGAGCCTCTGCAGATCTAGACCTGAGTTAGTTGTCGCAAAGGCATGACTAATGAGGCTCCGTCGAGTGGCTGACAGGAATCGGCCAATGTTCGTAATGGTGATTGCCGGCCGGGGAAAGTATGACGTCGTGTGCTGGAGCTAGTCACGTCCACTAACCGAGGAACGTGTGTTTTCTCCAGCATACCAACCTTTCCTTCTGAAGCGTCCATCTGCCAAGTTTGCAAGCTCTTTCCATACTACTGAGATACTCCATCGACTCAATTGACCTTCTCTCCTCCTGTCAAGCTACACAAACACACCGAAACATACCCAAAGCTAGAAGCCCCGAGCTATACCGCCGAAACCCCGCAAACTTCCCTCCACATAAACACCCCCGAAACCAGCCATGTCCGCTATCCGTGCCTTCGCGACCCGTCGCGCTCCCTTTGCCTTTGCTCAGCGTGCCGCTTTCTCCCAATCAATAGCCCGCACCGCTGGCAAGGAGTCGGCTCTCCGTACGTCCGCACCGCCAACCTCGGCTTAGCGCCAACAATCATAGCATTGAACGCGTGCCAATACCACCCCCCGAGAAGGAATTGAGCTGACAAAAGCGAACAGACTCTGAGAACCGCGCCGAGGAGGTCGAGAAGAAGAAGCAGGAGCAGCTCAACAAGAAGAAGGACGGCAAGCAACACTGGGAGGAGCAGCTTGCCAGTGACAGCGAGAGCGCTGTAAGTTGGATCTACCTTATCAGGAAGATGGAAGAACATGGTTATGAGGGCATTGGCTAACGGAGAGTATAGGTCAAGGCGGATCGTTCCGAGACTGGCAAGGACACCAAGCAACAGATCAAGGAGCTCCAGGAGGAGACCAAGAAGGTCGGCCAGTAAACGAATCACATACGACACACGAGCTCGATATACGAGACTCCCTTCCGAGTTACAAAAGGACGCCGGGCGCCATATCAAATTGGCTCATACTAGGACGGGAGCGGCGGAAGGGAAAATGGGATCATAGCAAGATGAGCTATCTACAGTACCCAATTGACACGATTAATTTTAGTCACATTCCACGAATGTCTTTAATTTCCTGGGACCGCGCCTCTTTCAAACCGTGTTGCTTTCTCCCACAATAGCTGACCTCCTGTTACAGACCGCCTTGTAGCGATACGCCCCACTGTAATGCCAACTATGACCCACCGTCTTCCTTCAGACGCGTAACACAACACGTGAAAGCCGGATACTATCAACGGTACCACATCAATGTGCCATATTGTCACTGGCCATCAAGAAACCAAAGTGCACTTTCTATTCGACATCGCATCCAATCTGCCAATTTCACCCCACCCCACCCCACTATTCACCATACCACACCCCCCCTCCCCCGTTTCTAAACCCTACACAACCTCCCACTATCAAGATCATACTCCCACCCCTCCGTCCCCACCCCCGCCAACACAAACAAACTCCCACTCGGGTCATACTTCCTCTTCACCTCCACTAACCTCTCATACCCCTCCCCATAAAACACCTTCTGGAAACCCTCAACATACGGATTCGCCTCATTCATATACGCCCCCGACCCCGGCGCCCACTCCTCCCACATCGGCTCTTTGACAGATGCGTGCCATTCGGCTCCGATGCTCAACGCGCGCTTCGCAGAGCCTGCAGCTTTAGAGTTGATCGTAGCGCCCGTGGCGATGAAATGAAGGTACGCGGTGCGCCAGCTAGGGTGTAAGGCGCCCCAGTGTTGGGAGGGCGTGGAGTGTACGCCGGGCCCGCCTGAGAGGCCGATGGTGGCGTAGTTTCCTGGGTCTGTGGTGTTTTGACTTGCCATTGCGGTTTTCAGGTATGAGATGACTTGCGAGTGGGGGGTCGAGATGAGTTCGGCGCGGCCGAGGAGACGGGAGGAGGTTAGGGATTCGCCGCCGGCGACGTTGTCGCCGGATATGGTGGTGAAGAAGGAGGGGTAGTTACTGTGAGTTGATGTCGACATTGAAGTTGAGACGAGAGAGCTGTCGTTGCCGGTGGTGCTTGTATTGGTGCTGGACTGGAGGAGGAGGTTTGTCAAGATGGGTTGGACGAGCGCTTCGACAGCCGCGGGCGTGATGTTGAACGCCCAGAAGACTTGGTTGAGACCGATACCAGTGAACGGCCCATCTGAAACATCGATATCGGGGAAGAATTTCGGTGCCGTACTTCCTACTGCTACGGTTGCAGCGCCTGCAAGTCCGGCATCCATGAGATCGGGTAGCGCACTGAGCCAAGTGGCTACTGCCGACCACGAAGCTTCCATGCTGGCGTTCGAGCTACCTTTCGGCTTGATCTGAACACTCGCCATGACGACGTTACGGGGAGCTGGGTAGTGCTTGATCACGTATTCAGTGACGACGCCATATTGTCCTGCACCACCGCCACGCAGTGCCCAGAAGAGATCTTGGTTCTGGACTTCGTTGGCGATAAGCACATGTCCGGTAGTGGTAACAACGGTCATTTGGAGAACCTGGCTTGATGCCAGACCGTAGGTGGAAGCCAACGGGCCATGACCACCGCCTTGGATATAGCCTCCCAAACCCACACTGGGGTCCTGGCCTGTTGTCACGACCCGGCCTTGACTTGTCGCGAAGGAGAGGACGTGACCCCATTGTTGGCCGCTACCGACGATGAAGACGTCTTCTGCGGGCGAAGAGCTGTTGGCGACATGCCAGGCTGTGTTGCGAGTTAGGTGGCGGAAGTTGCGCGTCCAGATTGAGAGGGAGAAGGCGCCGCTTGATCTATGGAGGTAATGTCAGCTTTCCATCCCTAAGTCATCTTTGAGAACTGAGGACTCACCGGCCGTTGAGATCATGACCCGTCCCCTTAACCACAATCCTCACATTCCTCTCCACAGCCCACTTCATCGCAGTCGCCACATCAACCTCCTCCGTCGCATTAACAATATACTGCGGCAAACCTCCTATCGTACAACCCTGCTTCTCCGACCAACTCCCTACTTTATCTGGCAAACAAGAGTTATTCGCATACAGCTGGTAGTCGATTGATTCAGGCTGTTGCGAATGCCAGGTCCCGTTCGACCAGTTGTCGTTGACTTCTTGGCAGGATAGAGGGGAGGTGAAGGTGTTGTTGGTGGAAGGCCAGCAGGATGATGCGACGGGTACGGTGCGGATTAGGGATCCGCTGATTGTGGCGTTTAAGGTGGACCATTCTGAGGGCGTGGGCCATGATGCGTCGGAGGGGGTTGTGCGACAGAATGGTGGTGGTGGTGTTGCGGCTGCGCTTGCGACGGCGGGTGATGCGAGGGTGAGGTATCGTAACATGACGAGTATTGGAACGAAGTGAACGAATGATGAATGAGAAAGACTGAATTGCGTAGGATGATACCATATTTATGTGCTGCTAAGATTTGATCAACAGTCGTTTTCGTGTTACCTCTCTTCCTCGTATTCTCTCTCTTTTCGTATTCGCGGCTCTTACGGACTTCGCCACAGTGGGTGTACGAAGCGCGCCACGAAAGCCGCGTCTTCGACCTAGTGTCTTTTTTATATGGCATCTAAAATGGAGCCGTGAGAATACCGAGGACCGTAACAGTGCGGAAATCTAGGCTTTTGTTGGTGTTGATACCGACAAGACGTTCACACAAGAGACATTTTGAAGAGTTGAAGATCATTGCTTCATTCAATGGGCTTGGAGGCTATCTAGTAGCTCAAGTGCATTTGATATCGTGACCTCTTCCCAGCTTTCCAGCGATGCTCATCAGCTCACCTGCAGTGCATCGTCTTGAGAAGGCGCACTCTTGGTGAGTTCCGAGAAGCGTCGTTGCAACTCGTAGCCACAACCTACGTGGTTTGACTAATCGTCGCCCAAATATTTCGCCAATCTCATATGCTCCTCGTGTTTGACCGCTGCATATTTTTAGTAAGTCATGTTCTTGTTTCAAACTTCGTTTCCGGATAAGTCACTAACCCATCAGATCGACCAATTTGGATTGTAAGCCCCGAATTAGCGACTGATAGGCATCCTCTATGCTCGAGCAATTCTCGGAACCCATAAAAGGCTCCCAATCTAGTTTGCCGCAATCTAATTTGTTGTAGGAGATGACCCAGGCGAGCATGGTGGGCTTCTCGTTGTCGTCGAAGCCAGTCACAACGTCAAACGTCATGTCTGGTGACTGATCCTGACCATAACAGCTTTTTGCGAGGGCTGTTGATACGTCAGACGTGAATCAGCGTGATACACCAATGAACTCACCGAGGATGGTAGCCTTGAGCTTCTCTTCGTACTTGGCTTGAGCCAGCTTGTCGTGGATGGAGGCCATCGTCGTCGTCGTGCTCAAAATGTGGGTGTAGATAGTAGAAAGCAGAAAGCAAAATGTCAAAGCCGCGTTATAAATACTTTGTGCGCGGAGGCGAAGATTTCCGATCTCACCTTCACTTTCACTTTTCGTTGAGAACAATCCGCATTTGCGAAAGTGAACTTTACCCAGACTTACTCCGGCTTGTGATGAGGATAACTTGGATGTTATTTATCGTATGCTGCTATGTAGCGCGAAGCCTTGTCGACTGATCACAAAGCCCAATTCGTAGCCCCCAGTAGTCTATGACGACAATGACCTATCTCAGTACTGATAACTTCAATCTCCCCACTCTGGAACGCCTGATGCGAAGATCATCGTACTGGTGGAGCCAATGCTACCAACAGCCTAATGTTATCAGAGTCCCAGATGTTACTCCGACTTCGCCGTCTCTCGCTCCATTATGACCGGCGCGGTTTTCTACGCTTGAGTCTTCGCAACTGTTGAAGGAAAGTGTAAGTTGTTTTCTCGGATCTTGAACTCATTGGTAAAGTGACTTACTGACGTGATGTGACAAGCGCATTTGCAGCACTGTCAACAAATCGTTTAATCCGACCGCAGCAGTAGCGCAGTCCTTGATAGAATCAAGAACCTTACAACTGGGATATGTTCCCTGCGATTTCCAGACGATCAGGTGGATGTCACGCGACATACTCTTCAGCAATGTCGAATTATTTGGGATAGTAGTAGGAATAGCGTGAACGACGTCGAAGACGGTGCCTTGGGGATGGCTTTCTCCATAAAGGGCGCGCGCATGAGCTGTAAAATGGGTATCAGTTTAGTAATTACACAGCGTAAGTAGTGAATTGTGAATGCATACACAAGATCTGTTCCTTGATCTCCGTTTCCCACATCATGGTCTCGTACTGGTTCATCGGTTTAACCTCTGCGGTCGCGGACGAAGCCATCGCTAATAGTCGCTGGAATGAGGTGAGGTAGAAGATAGTAGGATGCGCGAAAAGTCTCTTATTTGCGTAGGTACTGTGCAAAACGCGACTTCGGATCAACCTCCACCTCCGCACCCGTGTACTCAGCTAGTCTACATTTGGCAGTAACAAACGCTTGAAATTCCAGCATCGACCTTGCTATGAAGCCGCGGTAGTCTCAAAATAGATAGCCATTCTACCGCTCGTCGCAACCAAAAATCCATCAGCGACTACGACTACGATCAGGACTGCGGCTACGACCACGACCACGATTACGACTACGACTACGATCACGACTGCGACTACGACTATGACGTCTCTTCCCTGGGCGATAAGAATCTAAATCTCTCCTCCGGCTACCCTTTGCCGCGTTCTCAACGTCATCAATCTTGTCAGAAGTCCCTGGCTTACTTTTAGGCTTGTCAATCGTCCGTTTTAGTCCCACTCTCAGCGACTCCAAAAGACGACTCAATCCCTCCGCAACATCAACGTTGCCGTCGACAGAATAAGCTCGTTCCCACTCGTTGCTTTTGTGCGGCCGCTCGTACACGATCAGGTGAATGCTGTAGGGCTTCTCCTTGTCTTTTTCCTCTCTGGAATATGTGTGGATAACATCATATTCTGAGCCGTAGCGGTAGACGGTGCATTCGGCGCGGGCGTGAGCTTTGTGGCGGAATGGCGTTAGCAGCATTCATTGACTTATAAGGTATGGGATGACTGGGGGTTGGGAGCTGGGAGTACGTACATTTGATTTGGTTCTTCATTTCTCTCTCCCACAAGATGGTGTCGTACTTGGACATGGACATGCTGAGATGTTTCAGTGGAGGGACGGCGGTATGTGTGAGGAAGTGTCGAGACGGGCGAGTGAAGCAGTTGAAGCTGTGGTATGAAGTGTGTTCGGAGAATACCGCACGGGATATACTCGCTACTGTTCGCAAATAGTGTTTGTTTAGCCAGGTAGCAAGCGGTCCATGATGATTGATTAACGTTTCTAGCATGTTCTATCAGTGTCTCGCAACACCTCGAAGAGAGGGTTGTGAAACCAATCGTCCTTGTTCACCTGCGCAGCCGTTCGAGAGTACAATACACAGTATAGCGGTCGCATGTCCTACACCTCCCTCTCCGGCACCGGCACCGGCGGCTTAGGTACTACATGATTCACATTACGTCAGCACAGTGCCCTTCAAAGGCCGCAGTATAGCTTACTTATCATATCCGAAAGCCTCGTTTGCAGTTTCCTCATAAGTTCCTCCAAGCCTTCCTTCTCAGTCGACTTCCTGTCAGCACACAGAACGATTTGCCATTTGTCTGTGAGCGACAACTCGTCCAACGCGATGACATGTACGACATAGCCATTGTATCTTTGATCCTCGTTAATGAGATCAATCTTAGTGGTCACGACGTCGAATACGGTGCCGGGGCGGACCTGGTCAATGAACACGGCGCGTGCGTGAGAGACGATTTTCTTCTTCAACTCGTTCTCCCAGATGATGGCTTCGTATGACGCTGATGTCATTGTTGCTGTGAGATATGATGTAGAGAAGAGTTCTCGAAGATGGCTTCTTATTTATGGCCGGGGGGATGGCTCGTAACAAATGAGTCTTGTGTGTCATGAGATAGGTCACGAAGAGCAGAAGCAATCACTTCTAAAGTGGGACTCGGGTCCTCTCCATCCTCTAGATCTAACAGCCCAAACTTCCACCACCCGTCACCACCTCACCTCTTCCACATCAAAAGACCCATCCAAAGCAAAAAGCCTCACGCATCCTCTCCCTCCAAATCCTCCATCGGCGACATAGCCTCTTCTCTCAACACCAAAACATCAGTCCCATCCTACTGCATAGTCATCTTACCAAGTCACCTAATAACTCCGACAACCTCGCTTGCAACTCCCACAAAAGCTCCTCATAGATCTCCACACCAGTAGCCTTCGGTTCGCTAGACGCAAGTATCTTCCATTCCTTTTTGTGTGGTACTTTGTACATAATGACATGTGCCATATAGCCCTCGCGCCGCCTCGTATTACCCTCTCTGAAATCGCACACGCCTAACACGACGTCGAATGTAGAGTTCGGGCGGACTTGGTTGGTGAATACGGCGCGGGCGTGGGCTAGAAAATGGTGATGACGTTAGCAGATGGGCAGGCATGGTTGGGGAGTTATGTAGGGGATGGGGGCGTACATAGAATCTGTTCCTTCATCTCTTTCTGCCATAGGGTTTTGGTGTACTGGGCTTTGCTCATGGCGGCGGAGATGTGTGGTGTGTGTTGGATGAGTACTTCGCAAAGAACCTTTTTATGTAATGCTCGAAGAACAGCGAATCATCGATTCATCGCTTGTGTTCTGAGATTGGCCACAAAGAATGACAACGAACGAGCATAAAAGACAAACTTGTAAGTTTGTTTATCGAGAGAAGCTTCGTGCGCGAGGTGCAGCGAGTAGTCACGTTGTTTACATTGCTTGACTTATTTGGCGCAACAGGCTTCACTTTCTTTGCATCCCATGGATCTAACAGCCCATAGATCCACCACCCACCGTCCATCACCCCATCCATACCCAACCCCCCTCAAAGCATCTTCCCCCTCTTCCTCCTCCCAACAACCCACCTATGCGCAACATCATAAACCGCCCTCGTCCAACTCCTCGTAATAATCTTCCCCTCAAACGTCCCACTCACCCAACTAAACAACACAAGCAACGCAGCACTCAACCCAAACGTCCACCCAAACGCCCGCCAATAACTGCCCACCTCGAACTCCAGCCCCTTGAACTGAATGCTAAAATACCCCGTCATCAGCGTCACAGGCGTGAACAAGATGGTTATCTTGGCAAGCAGCAAAGTAACCCAGGTGAGGCGCTCGACCGAGAAGGATTCTTTGATGGCGATGAGGTTGAAGTTCATCATTACGAGGGACTCTTTTTGGTCGAGGCATTCGGATATTTCGGAGAGGGCGTAGAGCTGGATGCGGTCTTTGAGGCGTTCGAAGCGGACGCGCGCGGCGGAGCTGAGGGCTACGCCCAACAAACTATCGGCTTCGGGGACGAGGGGGCCGGGAGAGTCGTTTATTACGGGGTGGGAGGAGATGAGGGAGGCGTTGCCGGAGAGGATGTGCGAGTTCTTAAGTGACGCGAGGGTGGCTTCTTGCTTTTTGAGGACGCGCTCGATGATTAATTCGTAGCTTTGGTAGACGCGCTTTAGAACGGCCAGTTGGCAGCCGATGTGGTGAAGTTGGTCGACGTGGGTTAGATTGGCTGTCTGAAGCATTTCTTGTCGGAGTCGGTCGAGCTCGGCGGCGTAGCCGTGCTCGCGGCGGGAGATGAGATCGAAGGTTGCGCCCCAGTCTTCGAAGAGGTAGTAGAAGAGCAAGCCAGGGGCATCTGTGGGACGGTGGGCTGTTTCCTCATCGCTGCTGCCGAGGCGTTGACGGATGGGTAGTTGAGTGAGCGCTGCCTCTCTTAGCGGCGTCGGTGCTTTCGTAAGTTGCCTGAAGACGTTCACAGTATTACGACGTGTGGTGAAGAGTACTTTCACGTCTTCTTTGTTTAAAGCACCGTTGGCGAACGGGAACGGGTCTTCGGAGATCGAGATAACGGTTTTATCCTCGCATAAGAGAAGCCAGTTCCATACACGTTTGCCGTGGGGCACGTCTCGGGTTCTATCCGAGATTATAGGGCGGGTGTTGGTCTCTTTGCTGCGGACGTTGTGTAACGAGTTGTAGCCTATGCCCATGTCTGTTTACTGTCAGTAGAGATTCTCATCTAGTGCCTATGTCTCTTGTCAAGCAGAGGGCAACTTACATCTCCGACCCTGATCGACGGTACTCCAATGCCATACATCGTCTACTAGCTGGTAGTGATCCAAATCTCGGACTAGCTCCAGCTGTGTAGATTGCATCAATTCGGTGAGACCGATACTGGATTCTGAATCCAAAGCTTGTTCATTCGCTTGCCTCGCCTTTTCCCTGATAGAATTTGACATGTTCGATGTGTGTGATTTGTGGGAGAACACCGATCTTAGGGTCGAAGAACTCTTCTTCATGCGCAAGGATGGGTTGTTACGTGGCGGAACGTGATCGCTCGTCATCATGCCCAGCAGTCTAGGCGTGAAGTCGAAGTGAGAGGCCAGCGTTCTGATCAGCTCTTTCTGGTTGGAGGGATTCCAGATGTTGATCCATCGCGTATGTAGTTCAGTCGGTCGTGGCGATTGCAGCAACTTCTTGTACGCTTCGGCGTTGAGATCGAAAGCGCAGAAGGCATCACCTTCATCTTCTCCAAAGTCGATACAGAAATTGCGGCACCTGTGCTCTCTTGTTTGCCGGTCGAAGAGGTCAAAGTTTCGGTCCAAATCGAAGTTACGGAAGCATTGTCGAATATCGTCGTTGCCTGTGTCTTGGTAGTATGGGGGCAGGTCCTCGGCAGGTGACGCGGGCCGGAAAGGGAAAGGCATTGCCATAATGAGAGGATGTGGAGTTTGTTGAATCGTATGAGACGTGGGTGATAGCGATAGGAATAAACGATCTGTTTGGATGACGAATAGTGCCGAACATCTGAACTGACGATGTGACTGCAGCTCGTGCTGGGATCTTCGTGGGTATGTGTCGTGTGTACCTTACAGTGCGAGGTCACGCGGTGCGGTTGAGGCTCATGCCGGCAAGAAGTCTCACCCAAGGGTCCCAAGGCAGGCTAAAGGTTCGCAGCTGCTTGTGCAACTCCACATCTCTTACCAATCTAGTTTGTACCTAACATAAGGTATCCTCTAAAGGTACCCGCCAGGGATGACGCTTGTGTAGCTATGCGAACCACGGCGCGTGGTTTTGGATGCAGTATGGAGGCAGCCAACAAGATACAGACCCCTTAAGGTACGTTGCGTCCATGACAAAGTAAAAAGAATAGAGGGATGTGGATTTGAGTGAGATGCACAGATACGACGACGTAGCTGGATCGACCTGAAATAAACTTAGCAGCTAAGTCAAGGTACCTAGGTAGTCCGGACGGAGACGTTCGCGCATCGTGAACAGCAGATGATCAATACTAGGCGAACAGTCGAAGTAACACCGCCAGTTGATCTCGTGCGAGGATGGATGCGCAGAAAAGTTACGCAGCAGTCATGGCTTAGATGGGGGATGATGACATGGTGTCGCGTGGTCTGTATCGAGATGGGCACCTGCACCCGCCTGACTAGTGGGGTCGGAAATTGGCGCTTGCCCCCTATCGGATGCCAAGCGCGCCTTCCCAGATAGGCAAGTCCTAGAAACCATCGAAGACGGTAGGGTTTATCACTGTCAATGAGTTCAAGTTGAGTTGCAGCTCACAGATGACGTCAAACTGAACCCGCCCTAATAACGGAGGACATCTGATACGTGTAATAAAGAGATATAAGCCTCTGCTATCTCAAAAATGTACAGACGATAGCTCGAAGTCGAAGAGGCAACTAGCGAAACCTGTGGATTACGGCGGTTTTCTATTCACTCTCCCACATCTTCTGCTGTTCACTCAACCCTGCCTGTAGAACGTGAACACAGTCCGGAACAGGGAAGTTTTGGACAGCCGTCGATTGCAGAACCTCGAGGGTGAAAATGGGCAGCCCATCCGCTAGGCCTTTGTACCTAGCAAGTGTGCTGCAGCGTCTCAACGAAGACGAGCTATACCATGTTCTCATAATGGTGGGGCATCATCGCGACTGCAGGATAAGGGTTCGATAGCTTATTGCCGTCTTCACATGCACACATGCCACACCATACAAATACCCACGATCTACTGCTCTATCAATATGCCAGCCGCCTAACGCGATTCATAGCCTTGCTTCGGCCCTTTTCGCTCTGCGCCTGCGGGTAAACCCCTCGACTGCTATAACCACGCCCGGCGGAGGGGAAGAAAGACGAGCACGTGCTCCATTTGGACCTCAACAGCGTTCGCCACGGTTACTCCCAACGCGATGGTCGGCCCACTCGTTCAAGAAGCTGCAGCTTCGCAGAGGCCTACAGCGGCCGCGACGCCCACGCTCCCAGGGTGACGTTCTCATAGGAGGCGCGATGGACTGGCGCCATTTCCTGAGGTATCTTGGCCGGCCAGCCAATCATGGGAGCGCAGGACACCCACGGGATCCTTCTCCCAGCGCTGCGACACAAAAGAGCCCACGCGACACCCCAATGCTGATAATGCACGCCATACATTGTCTCTGCCGTCCCTTTATCCCCTCTTTGTCGCTCTCTGACTTATTCTACGCGCGGGACACTGGCTGAAGACGTTCTATGAGCGCCTTTACTCCCATCATGCCTCGCCCAAACCTCCCTCCGACTCCCCAGCCGTCGACAGACATCACCGGCAAGAGCAGCGCCAATGCCCCTCAATTGGAGACGAGCTTCAACTTGCCACCCGCAGCGCTGGGTGGTAGAGGAAGTGTAGCTAGCTCCTCTGGTAAATCCGAAAACGCCTCAGACTCGTCCTACCGGCCACCTTCCCCGTCGTCCCCAGTCGCGACTTCCAAGCCCGGTCATGCGCGCAAACGCTCCCAGCAGAGCATCATCACCAAGGACGACTATTCTCTCCCGCCTCCGCCTACTCGATCCCGCAAGATCATTCAGATGAAGCCCAAGGATACCCAAGACACGCCCAAGACCTCGTCCAAGACACAGGATGCGAAGACCACGACCGCTGCCACTAATGGTACCAAAAGGAAGCAGGCGGGTAACGCCACTGCTGCGGGACGTAAGATTGCAAGGAAGACGGCACACAGTCTGATTGAGCGGAGGAGAAGGTCCAAGATGAACGAGGAGTTTGGGGTACTCAAGGACATGATTCCGGCGTGTAGGGGACAGGAGATGCACAAGCTGGCCATCCTACAGGTACTTCCCGACACTCACCTACAATTCCTTCATATATTAACACACCCAGGCATCCATCGAGTACATGCGATACCTCGAACAGTGCGTCTCCGATCTCAAGACCGCCAACTCCCGCCGCGACTCCCCATCCTCAGCTACATCCGAGCTCCCGCCACCACCAGTCCGACGCATGCACGACGACGACGACGAAGACGAAGAGCAAGACGAAGAGATGGAAGACGCCGTATCACCCACCTACGTCGAGCCACCACCCGCCCAATCCAGATACACCTTCGCCCAAGCCTCCCCCGCCATCTACCCCTCCGACCGAAGCGTATACACACACTCCACCACCACATCCCCTGCCATCATGCCCCACGATCGCAACGGCCACTACTCGGCGAACCCCTCCCCCGCGTTGCGCCCGTCCGACCCACACCACTACTCGCTCGGGCCAGCTTCAGTCCGCTCCACAGTAACTTCGCCTTCGATCCACCCTTCGCCTGCTTTCAGCGCTCACACACCATCGGCCACACACTTTAGCAACCCCTTCCACAACGGCCCTCCTAGCACGGGTCCGGTAGCTGCGCCTGGCTCGTCGCATGCCTCTGTCCATTTCGCGTTGACGTCACCGGCGCTGAAACCACAGGCTGATCGTGAGGACCAGGAAGCTACTGAGGCTTTGATGATGTTGAATACCGACCGTCGTAGCTGGAGTGGGGCTAGGGGTATGAGTGTTAAGGACCTTCTCAGTGGATAGGTTGTGTGTATGAGATGTATGATGAGCGCTGTGGCGTTCAATGAGCATAGCAAAAAGGGTACTGGGTGGATGTCTGTTTACTGTTTTGGCGCTGGTGGGTTTTCTGCTGTTCAGCTCTTTGGAGCTATGGTTGTTATGCTTTACGTAGACTTTGTTTGTGTTTACATTTTCTGGGCAGGATGAAGGGAGGGTAATGGTGCGGACGACTCGTTTCATGTACGACAAAAGTTGAAGCTGCATACCTCGATGAATATACACACGCAAGACGATTGATACGATGGCTGTTGCACAGAGATAGAGAAACGAGTGTATGATTCTATTCTAGTCAATCCCTTCCACCTTCTCCAACCTGGCTATCCTTCTGTATCTCTCCTACTCCCCATTTACACATCCTTGATCCCCAGCCATCCCTGACGCCTTGCTCCGACCAAGAAGTGATCTAGCAGTGATCACTAACCTGGCTACCAAACGGCTCGTTCTTGCAGTCGCCACCGCAAAGCGTAATGAACTGAATAGCACCGCCGTTGACGCAGTTGAACAGGGCTTTGGCGCGCGCGTTGGCGTCGGTGGGTTGGCCGGCTGCGTCGAGGACTTGGTAGATGGTTGAGGCGTAGTCGCCTGGTTGTGTTAGGTGGGGACGGGAGGATGGGGAGAAGAGGAAGGGGAGGGGAAGGGCTGGGGGGAGGGGGGATGGGAAAGATGGAAGTTGGGGAGACGAACCCTGAGTCAAAAGGTTACCCTCGCAGTATGCATACCCAGCGAAACAGTTGTCCGCAACGACAGTGCTAGCCATAGTGGCAGCAGCGAGAATGGCGATCTTGGAGAAGTACATGTTGATTGAGATTGAACTGTTGTTCGTTGAACGTTGAGATAGAAGACTCGTTGTGTGTGTTTGTGATGATTGAAGAACTTGATGTGTGATGATGATTCTCTACTATGTGCAAAGTACCTCCTTATATATCCATCTCTCTGCTCTTTAGGCATCCCATACTCCTCATCGATACTGTACGATGATGCTGTTCTTAACCGCCGTGTCTTACAGCTTTGTCACCGGTATGAAGGGAGGGGGTTTGCCTGGTGTCTTGGATTCGGGCCGTATGCACTATGGTAAGGCGAGATGGGATGGGGCGTCATGGTCGCAGCAAGGATCTTTGCGGTACTGAGATGGAGATCGTCATAGGAAGGCTGAGAGTCTCGTATACAATTCGAGTCTTTGATGTTGATTGCTTGTTCAGGGTTCAGGTGGGACGGGGCGTAGGTGGATATCGTGGACCGCGATGTGGAGTTAGGCGTAAGACATTGAGGAGAAGAGAGAAGTACGCCTTGATCTGTATCCACTTGTTCATGGGCGAAGGTCGTACAGTGATGTTGAACAGGCAGGTGATTGGAATGGACTCGCGCAACAATTTCTCCTTTCGTGATGTCGGCCCCCGATACCCACATACCGCTCGTTCTCGGGTCATCATTCCCTTCATTTCACCTTAAAACCAGCTATTTGAGGTGATCGTTTAGGCATCACTGCGTTTGGTGCCAACTGAATGTCTTGCCCCAGCAGCTCGCGATTCCCTATGAGGATTCAACCGGACGTGTAAAGATGGGCCTGCAGACGATGGAGTCCTCGTCAAGCCGGCAGCTTCCAACATCTGTGGCAGTCGTACGATTCAGTAGAACGTTCCTGGTCTCGTTCTTTGAAGCGTGTCTCTCCCGTCCTATAGCTTGCGGCACCTTCCTAAGTGTGATAGGCTACAAGAACATATTATCAACGGCTTGCTCGAACTCATCTCGACAGGCCCCGTACCTTGCGTCTTCCGCCATGATCATTTAGCTGATATCGGCGATTTCCCCGGACTTGCGCCTTACGCCCCGGGTAGCTCCATCGTAAGCATACGAGACCGACAAAGTCAATTGGCGCTTTGTGGTCATCTCCAGAATGAAGTAAGACCAATAGAGTCTTTTATTATTACTTCCCCGCTTCAAGAGACATGTACGTAACACCAGACCCGCCGATACAAACAATGGTAGGTCGTGAAGCATCGGACGTCGTCTCATTGAGCCGCTTGGACGCAGTCAGCATAAACGAAGCCGCTGTCGATCTCCCAGGCCGCCGACGCGCTGCCGTAAACCGGGTTCAGGCTAAAGAGCATTGAGGGTTAATCATTGATGTGTCATCCAATACTGATTTTGGTCGTCAGCCTGTCTTGAAAGTTGCTCCGATCTTACGGCCAAGCGCGTGGAGCTGGAGACGACGTGCTTGGTTCCCCACAGATACTTTAGGGCTGCCTTGCGCTAATACGGGGCGTACTGAAACTTTGTACTCTTGCGGTCATTGCAAGACGTAGGTGGCAGAAAGGTTGAGCTGAAGGACCCGCGTTCGCGCATAGAGTGCGCGGTAGTCGTCTGGAGGTGCCTTCTTTCGTGTGTTCGGGATGCACCTTCCTAAGGGGCTAACACCGGCAGCTGGGAGGGACCGTGCCGTGCCGTAGGATCCGCATTAACGCTTGAAGAGAAGGAGATGTAGGATCTATGTGTCAACGACAAGCTGTGCCTGGCGATGGAGCGTGAGAGTTATGACGTGCGGTCGATGTGATCGAAGGTGGTCGCTGCCGCGGGTCAGACCCGGCGAGTACGATGGCTCTAGCGCGCCTGCCTTGCCTATTGCCAGCCCTGGAGGAAACTGACATCCGTCCCTTCATAATTTCTGGTCGCATCTGTCGCAACATCTATCGAAATCCATAAGCACAGAGTGCTACTGTCTTCAGTATGAGCGACCATGAGTCTGGTTGCGGCGCTTCTCTGCCTGGCTCTGCCTGGCTCTGCCGGCAAGCGCAGGATCCGAGAGGAGAGCCGAGTCTGTGGCGGACACCATATACCTTTGCGACCTCCCAATTTCGATTCAACCTTCTCTTTCGCAGAATCACAAACTGATCCCCAACTCTATGGTCGAAATGTCTGGGTACTCTGCGTTCATCACATCATCACTATTGTTGAAGAGTTTGGCTGTCGTCAGCGTCATTAACCGTGGCATCATCAAACGGCGGTTTCGATATGACAGCCGCAGTAGCACCGTCTCCGAATAACTTAAAGGTAACGACATCTCACCCTTCCGCTGAGTGCCGCTTCATTCTCTTCTCTCTCTACGCTCATGTTCAAAAGACCTCGCGAAGTGACGGTCGTTGCGCAGCCCGCAGTGTAGCTGCGAGTATAGGATGCGACATGCGACTGTGTCGCGGTGCAGCCCCATAGAATATGGCGATCGGTGACGATCAAAGGTAAGGTAAGAGATAGGAGTGGTGGGTGGTTCATTGACTCTTCTGTTCAAGTTTATCGCTTGCCGAGTCCACATTTCGTTCAGTTCCGCGATCATCTCAAGACCGACGGCGACATCTGTAGCGAGAATACGAAGAGACGGCACTATGGAGATTATGAAGACTTGTCCGACATTGATGGTATGCCTTATTTCGATGCCTAGCTCCGGTCGGACATACGATCGGTCTTTGCCTGGGTACCCAACGCATGAGCATCCACACCACCTGTTACGCCCTTTCGAGAGTCATACCACCTGGAAGGGCCCAAGGAGTCTGCAGATTGCTTGGCCCCCACCAAGCTTCCACAAGCCAGCCGGCTGGCAGGGGTCGGATTCCGCCCCGACGAAGTCCCGGTGCCTATTCAAGGCCGATGTGCCGCAACTATCATACGCAACGAAAGACCAAAGCCACCAAAGTCAGCTTTCTTGCATCATGCTCTGATCTCGTCAGAAGCATGCGACTCAATCAGTAACGCGCGCGGGTGGCCCCGTGGGAGTCAGAGCGAACGGCGCGTTTTTCCCCGCGTCGCTGTCTCGCGCTTTCGCTAACGCCGTTCACCGAGATCATGCCCCCAAACCTGGCTTAGTCTTGCACGAGAACCTCGGGGTTAACGGACAGAAATATGTTCAGGGTGCGGGCAGCGATGGGGACTCATTTCGTAATCCAGCTGCCTGCTGTCTTTCTATTATATACCTGCGGCTGACTCCTGGCGTTGTGATTTCGCACGCGACAACCGCAATCGTCTGAACCCAGTTCTCGAGACTTTCACAGTCGCAAACACCGCATTTGAGGATCACCATCGCAAGGAAAGCTTTGCGCACAGAAACTTCATCCTGATATCGTAGCGACAGCTACAGCGACCGCACAACATGTCTTCATCAACACGAGAACCATATCGCCAACATTCGAGGAGTAGCTCAGATACACATGTCCCAGACTTAGAAAAGGGCGACGCGAGACCGAACAAAGAGGAGGAAGAAGCTGTGGAAGAAAAGGTAAGAATTATCAACTTTTCACGACGCGATGTTCAACAAAACACTTCCATTACGGTTTGAAGACCTTGACGTCAGTGTGCGACTTGTTGCGCATGACACGGGAAGGCAATCAGGCTAAGTTATCCTGGCATCGGGTGGTCGGCTACTGCACCATCATCACCAACCGTCAGTTTTGAAACACCCCGAAGAGGAGCTAACATTTTCAAGCAACCTCAGGAAACAAACGATGATATCGGCGCAAACCTCGAGAAGCATCTATCAAGAAAAAGCACAAGGAAGGACCAGCTCGCTCCAGAGAAATACCCCTTATCCGACCTCGACAACAACCTCGTCGGCTGGGACACCCAAGATGATCCCGCGAACCCACGTAACTACACGACGAAGCGAAAGATCACACTCCTTGGATTAGTCGCCGCCATCACCTTCGTCAGTCCACTCGCCTCCTCCATCTTCGCACCAGGCATCCCATTCGTCAATGCAGACTTTGGCAACACATCGCAGCTTCTTGGATCCTTCTCCGTCAGTGTCTACGTCCTAGGTTTCGCATTCGGCCCGCTCTTCCTCAGTCCGCTCTCCGAGATCTACGGAAGATACATCGTACTCAACTGCTCCAACCTCTTCTTCTGCTGCTTCACCCTCGGATGCGCGCTCGCACCTAACCTCGGTGGCCTCATCGGCATGCGATTCCTCGCTGGTGTTGGAGGCAGCGCATGTTTGACAATTGGCACCGGTGTCATCGCCGACATGTTCGTGCCTGCGCAGCGAGGAAAAGCTGTGTCGCTCTACAGTACAGGCATCTTATTCGGCCCTATCCTCGGTCCTATCTGCGGCGGTTTCATTGCGCAACGCGCTGGCTGGCGATGGGATATGTGGGTCGTACTCATTGTTGGTGGCCTCTTGACAGTGGCGCTCTTCGTGTTCAACAGCGAGACGTACCACGCTGTGCTGCTCAACCGCAAGACTTTGCGTTTACGCAAGGAGCTGAACCGCCCTGAGCTTCAAAACATCATGACATACGAGAAGGATGCGGCACTCCTAAGTCCTCTTCATATCCTCGGAAACGGAATTACGCGCCCGCTCAAGATGCTCACCCGATCACCCATCGTTCTGCTCTGCTCGCTCTACATGTCCTTCCTCTTCGGCCTGCTGTTCCTCCTCTTCACGACAATCACACCCGTCTTCATCCAAACCTACGGCTGGTCTCCCGAGATCACTGGTCTGGCATACTTAGGCATCGGAATCGGAAACTTCATGGGCATCGCTTTCGTAGCCAAGACGAGCGACGCAACCATCATCCGCCTAGCGAAGAAGAACAAAGGTGTCTACGAACCAGAGATGCGCCTGCCACTTTGCGTGTTCTTCGGCAGCCTGATCCCGATCTCTTTCTTCTGGTATGTCTCCTCCCCTACTCACCCTACTATCATTCACTAACAACCCCAGGTACGGCTGGACAGCCTACAACAAAGTCCACTGGATCGTCCCCATCATCTCCCTCGTCCCCTTCGGTTTCGGCCTCATGGGCATCTTCGCGC